TTAAGGGTATTGTCAGTTAACCAGACTCTTAGAGACAATTGAGCATGATAGAAAGCAATTGGGGTTGGAGCCTTCTGAATCAAGATGGCAGACCAAGAACACACTTTGGTCTTCTCTTCTCTCCTTAGACTTCTATGAAATAGATAGTGGGTGTTTAAAAATAATAAGCAACACAGCAAACTGAAGCAGTAGTGGAGGCTGTGGTGGGTGGGGGAGGAGAGGGACTCACTTTCATGTGGATGGTTTAAAAAGGCAGAGCAGGTGTGAGGTGAGGAGGGGGAAGGGTGGTGAGAAATAGGCCTGTAAACAGGGACAGTGACAGCAAGGCTGCCTGTGCCATAGCTGTGCCCCATCTCTCTTCCTCATTCTTGTGTGAATGGACAGTTTCATGTTTATAGTGGGCAAAAACACAACTGCTCTCCTCCAAAGAAATGGGCTCAACTATCTGAAGAAAGCTAACGCTCTTCAGTAGATGTTGAGCGCAAGTAGAGTCAAATTTAAATATGCAAAAACTCATTATTTCCTACCCAATAAAGAAAGTTTTAGAATTTCCTTCTAGGAAGAGCAAAGGTGCAGCGAGCAGAGTGGAAGAGCTTCCTAGTCCTGGACTAGACTTGGCTTTGGCTTGACCAAAGAGCCAAGTCTGTTTCTAACTAGGATTCTCATTCCAAATCATGGGGTGTGGCATGGAGAGGCACAACATATTATTTCATGTCCTATTAATTTTTTTAAAATTTATTTATTTTAAATGATTTTTAAAAGATTTACTTATTTCTTTGAGAGAGTGAGAGCATGAGCAGTGGGGAGGGGGAGGGGCAGTGGGAGAGGGAGAAGTGAGAGGGAGAAGCAGATTCCCCAGCTGACCCTGGGATCACAACCTGAGCTGAAGGTAGAAGCTTAACTGACTGAGCCACCAGGCGCCCTTATTTATTTATTTTAGTAATCTCTACACCCAACATGGGGCTTGAACTCACAGCCATGAGATCACAAGTCACATGCTCTACTGACTGAGCCAGCCAAGGACCCAATGTCCTATTTAGATTTTCTTTTTTAACCACAAAAATCTTACACTTTCTTTTATCAATTTCAGTACTTGTAATTGGGGCAAAGGGAGCAGGGTTAATCAGCATATAATTTGGTTTGATTGAGTTGAGGACCACAAATTCTATGGAGCCAATGGAGCCAGGGAACTGATGAATGCAGAGTCCCAGTGTAGCTCCTTGAAACCCCATTTCAATTCTAGACCAGAAGCCACATACTCAGTTATGGCAGATGTGGGGCTGGAAATTAGGTGTTCTTACACGCAGTCGGCCTTCTTCCTCCTGTACTTTTCTTGTCAGCAAACTTGGACAGAAAGCCAATTTTGCTGGGCACTGCTCCTTGTGAGAGTGCCCTGCAACCATCCTCCGATCCAAATGCATCAATGGGTCAGGTGGCAGCAAGTTGGGATCAAAATGACTTGGGTGATTTACGAGCATGTCAGAACACTCCAGAGAAGATTTTCATTTACCTCCATTTATGGAATCCCAGGAGTCCAGGATGATTAGGATCTGAATGTTGCTGTTCTTCATATCACCAGTGACTGGCACACTATGATTTTTCAATTCATATTTATTGAATTGTGTTTATAACTATGCACAAGTTATGGTGCTGGTGAGTGTTTATGAACTTTGCCACCTATGGTAAAATAGTTTATTAATAGCCTAAGAGAACTATTTTGACCTGAATTCGTGTTAAAGAGATTGGAGAATTAAAAAAAAAGAAAAGAAAAGAAAGCCAATTTTACTAAACCAGAAAACTTACTAGGAGATATTTCCTGCTCCAGCTCCTGGAACATCTACATAAACCAAACTGGATTCAAATATTACTTTTTTGTGGGACACCTGGGGGGCTCAATTGGTTAAGTGGCCAACTCTTGATCTCAGCTCAGGTCTTGATTTCAGGGTTGTGAGTTCAAGCACTGTGTTGGGCTCCATGCTAGGCGTGGAGCCTACTTTAAAAAAAAAATACACACACACACACACACACATTACTTTTTTCCTATTGTCTATGTGATTTTAAAATTATGTGTTAAGTGATTAATTGAAGAAAATTTGGAAAATATAGAAAAGAATGAAGAAGAAATAAGTCATCCATAGACCCATTACTTGAAGACAATGTTTGTGTATTTTTGAACACTCCAAATCCAAGCCCTGAAAGATACCTAAAACTAACACAGAAGATAGGGCTAGCCTTATTGCTTTACTGAGAGAGAGTCAGGAACTTCAGTGATGGCACAGTTTGCTCAAGCTCATCCTTGGGTGGTGGGACCAGGAAGAATTCTAGATGACTCCAATCTCTGAACTCTTTGTTGACTAAGTCATGCTATTTTGCAAAAGATTAGATTGGAAGACATCACAGTATGCCCCATCCTGAATTTCTTCTCAGAGAGGAGCTGGGCAGGAGCTCTTACCATCAGAGTCTGGAGTTTTGAAGCCCATTAACCACAGGCCTTCCCAAAGTTTTTTTTTTTTTTTTTTTTTTTAATGTGTGTGTGTGTGTGTGTGTGTGTAGAGAGAGAGAGAAAGATAGAGAGTGAAAGTTTACATGTAGATGTTAAAAATGAGAAAGCAGGGGCGCCTGGGTGGCTCAGTCGTTAAGCATCTGCCTTCGGCTCAGGTCATGATCTCAGGGTCCTGGGATCGAGCCCCGAGCCCCGCATCGGGCTCCCTGCTCCACAGGAAGCCTGCTTCTCCCTCTCCCCCTCCCCCTGCTTGTGTTCCCTCTCTCGCTGTGTCTCTCTGTCAAATAAATAAATAAAATCCTTAAAAAAAAAAAATGAGAAAGCAGTCTCAAAATGGAGTCACTTGTGCTAAATTCCACACTAGCTAAAAAAGATTTAATGCCTAATCTAATTGTAGTTGCAACCTCCCAGGAATAACCTTTAACCAGACAACATGGAATTGTCTGGTAAGCATAATGAGATAATCTTCTTGATAGACCCCTTTTGATCTCTTTAGGAAGGCTGTCTTGCCTGAAACAATGCATTCTTTGCCAATAATTTTCTTTTCCTATCCTCTTTCCACCTTTAAAAACTTTTCATTTTCTATAGCTCATTGGAGCTCCTTGCTAGATGTGATGCTGCCCGATTCATGAATCGCTGAATAAAATCAATTTGATCTTTAAATTTACTGTTAAATGTTTGCTATTTATCACAGAAAAGGAAACAAACCTTAAGTGTACAGCTCGATAAGTATTTACAGAATTCACCTTTCAGGAGTAGGGTTGTGGGAGGTTCCCTCAGGCTACTTCCCAGGAAGGGTCCCTACCCTGAGCCCAGATGCACCACAGGGGCTTAAAGGCATCTTAAAAGTTTAGCAGTAAAGATCACTAACATTTCCCTTTTTCCCTCTATTGTCTTCTTTTTTTTTTAATAAACTTTTTTATTTTGGAATAATTTTATCTTTTTTTTTTAAAGATTTTATTTATTTATTTGATATAGAGAGCACAAGTAGGCAGAGCAGCAGGCAGAGGGAGAGGAGAAGCAGGCTCCACGCTGAGCAGGCAGCCCGATGGAGGGCTCCATCCCAGGACCCTGGGATCAGGACCTAAGGCAGACGCTTTACTGACTGAGCCACCTAGGTGCCCCTGGAATAATTTTAAATCTGCGGAAAAGTTAGTATACTTTTCATTCAGTTTCCCATAATGTTTACATCTTACATAATCATGGTGCAATTATCAAAACTAAAAATTACTAGTAATTCTTATTATTATTTAAAATTTTTTAAAGATTTTATTTACTTATTTGTCAGAGAGAGAGAGCACAAGCAGAGGGAGAAACAGGCTTCCCGCTGAGCAGGGAGCCCGATGCAGGACTCAATCCCGGGACTCCAGGATCATGACCTGAGCCGAAGGCAGTTGTTTAACCAACTGAGCCACCCAGGCGCCCCACTAGTAATTATTATAATCAAAATCAAAAGTTTATTTGGAATTTACCAATTTTTTCACTAACATCCTTTTTTTCTGTTCCAGGATTCCATCCCATTGATCCCCCATTGCCTCTGACAGTTTCTCAGTCTTTCCTTGTTTCTCATGACCTTTATAGTTTTGAGGAGTACTGGTGAGGTAATTTGTGGAATATCCATCAATTAGGATTTGTCTGATGTTTTTCTCATGGTTAGATTGGGATTATAATTTTTGGGGGAGGAAGACCACAGGAAAAGTGACCTTTTCATTACATCACGTCAAGGGTAAATATTATCAACATGACTTACCATGGCTGATGTCATTCTTGATCACATGGTTGAGTAGTGTTTGTCAGGTTCCTCCACTGTAAAGTTATTTTTCCCTTTCTCACACTCTTTGGGAGGAAGTAATTATGCAGATTCAGGGGTGTTTGGGTGGAGATTAATACCCCCTCTGGATTGGGTATGATATTAGAATTCCTCTATAAAAAAGACTTCTCTCTTCTCCCCATTAATTTAACCATTTACTTACAAAAGAATGGACTCTATTATATATATATATATTTTTAAGATTTTATTTATTTATTTGACAGGGACACAGCGAGAGAGGGAACACAGGCAGGGGGAGTGGGAGAGGGAGAAGCAGGCTCCCCGCGGAACAGGGAGACCGATGTGGGGCTCGATCCCAGGACCCTGGGATCCTGACCTGAGCCGAAGGCAGACGCTTAACGACTGAGCCACCCAGGCGCCCCTATTATATTTGTTTTATACTCCAAGTTATAATCTAATACTACATAATTTATTTTGGTGCTCAAATTGTTCCAGATTTGGCCATGGGGAGCTCTTCCAGGTTGACTCCTGTGTCCTTCGACAGGCCTCCATGATTTTATTCTTTGAGCATTTTTTACTTCTGGAGCTATACCAAGCTCCAGACTCCGGTTGTACTTTCCCTGCCACAGCTCTAGAACCACTCTTTTCTCTAAACAGCCCTGGCTTCTCTTATTGGAGGATGGTATTTGGACGAAGACCAGAGTGCAAACGATTCCCTTTCAGTTGAAAATGAAGTAGAGTTGAGGATGCCTCAGGACCCTGCCCTCCCTCCTACGACGACCTCCGACGCAGCCCCCGCGACTATTCCAGGCATGCCCCGCGCGACCGAGCGCATGCGCGCCGGGGCGGTGTGACGCTGGACATCGGCCCGGACGCAGGCGTGAGGCAGTCGGAGCCGAGGAACCCCAGCGGCGTCCCTGCGCTCCAGTGCCTTGCTTCGGTGCTCCGCGGCGGCGCCTCGAGAGTTCGCAGGTAAATGTGTCGGTCCGGTCCGGGTGACGCCAGGCCCCCTTCTGCTCCCCATCCCCCAGATTTGATTCCTCTGGAGCTTTTCCTAGAGCCGCCCAGCCCCGCACCCCTCCGAGAAGATCCCCTCTCGACCCGCGTCCCGCCCCTCTCCAGCGTCGGTCCCTGTAGAGCCTCGGTTAGAGTCGCCCCGCTCCGCGCGCCCTCCCCTTCCCGGGTGTAGGTCCCTGCAGAACTTCCCGTACTGCCGCTCAGCCCCGCACCCCTCTGAGAGGACCCCCCCTTCCAGCCCGCGGCCCGCCCCTCCCTGGCTTAGATCCCAGCCACCTCTAGCGCGGTCCACTCCGCGCCCATCGGAGGCGACCCCCCTTCCCCAGCCCTCCTCCTTTCTTCCCTTCCTGGTGTTGGCTCCACCAGAGCCTCCGCTAGAGCCCTCGAGCTCCGAGCGCCCTCCTCTTCCCCGGTGTTGGACGCTCCAGAGCCTTCTTCCCTAGAGCCCACCCCGCGCCGCTCGGAGCGGACCCCCTCGGCTTCGGCCAGGCTAGAGCGGCCCAGCTCCAAGCCGCTCTGGAGGCACTGTCCTCGGCCCGCGTCGCCTCCCCTCCCTGGTGCCGGCCCCTCCAGAGCCGCCCAACCCCGCACCCCTCGGAGAGGACCCCCTCCTCCGGGTCAGCGTCCCTCCGTCCCAGGGTCCTGTGGAGCCTCCTCTAGCGCCACCCACTCGGCGCCCCTCTGAGGCGATCCCCGGCCCACTCCCCTTCTCCCCTCTCTGGTGTCCGCCGCTCCAGAGCCTCCCTTAGAGCCGCCCAGCCCCGCCCGATCTCCTTCTGCTGCCCCCTTCCCGCAGGTGCTCCCCGCGAGCCCGCCACCTTTCCGCACGCATGGGTCTCCCAGTGCCTGGTCTCTGCCCTTGCCCGCACTGAGATCGTACTCTCCTTAGGAATCCGGAGCGGCATTGAAGCTGTGGACTCGCGGGTGCGCCCGGCCTCCCGCTTCGTTTCACTTACTCTTGGCTTTGTGGTGGTTAAGACTTTTGGTTGTACATTATCTTTTTTCACGTTTGATCCTTTCACTCAGCCAGATCGGGAACTCCGGAGCCCACGGTTTTTATTTTGTGTCGCAAAGAGTTTTTTGTTTTTATCTCAAATGTAGAGTAATTTACAAAGAAGAGGCTTCATAAAAATGAACGAATAGTAAGTTCCTGTTTTTCAGGGTGGGTGGAGGGAATGAGGTGTGACAGTCATACTGTCAAGAAATCTAGAGGAACGTGGTTAATTCCCAACGCCATTGACTCCTGGCCCCTGAGAATCTTTCTTTTTTTGAGTGCCTCTTCTGACTAGGACAGGGTGGAGCCACTGCTTGAGGCAGGAGTGTTTAAATTGAAAGGGAGGAAAGTTCCTCGGTCTCGTGGTCTTTGAGGAAACCATTGCGAGCGCAGGAAGTGAGTTGTCTTAAGTCACAAGGGGAATTAGGGCCTAAGCGGGGATTGTCAGCTGACTTACGGCCGTCATTTTTTGTCGAACAAATCAATGACCAAAATATATGTGATTGGGCAGCCGGACTGTCTTAAGGGCCAGCCTGTACATGGGAATGAGAATGCCTGGGGCATTACTTTTTGCGTTAGTGATTTCTGTACTTGACTCCTCCTGCCCCTCCCCAACATACTAATCTCTGAGGGCAGGAATCCAAAATGTTGCAGGATGGTCTTGGCAGACAATATAGTGTTCAGTAAATGTTTACTAAAGGAGGCTGCGGAAAGGAACTCAGAACCTGACAGAGGTTCTTCACTAGCATATTTTTAATTGCGTTGGCACATTCTGTAGGCAATATTCCTAATAATCTCAAGGACTGAATTTATGAAATGTGTACACATTTTGTGTGTGTGTGTGTACATCATTCTATAGAATGAACAGATACCATTCTTGGTGTGATGGTCGTATTATTTCTCTGGAAGATAGAGGGTTTTTCTGATTCCCTCTAGAAACTTTGCTATGCTTCCCAGCTTGCCACCCTACATTAATATTTGGTTTCTTTCTCCTTAACTCTGCCTTTTTTTCTTTCTTACTAGATGTCTGAAGAAATTAAAAATTATTAGTGTCTGTAACTATGAAAAACTGCAGAGAGTAAAATAAACTATTAAACATGTTACAAAAAGTGGTTTAGTTATGATTTATTGGTTGTATGTTTGCTTCTGAATTTGATCATGGGGACAGAAAGTTGAACTTTCTTGCCTGTCCAGTGTGTCTGCCCTTTGATGAGTGCTTGTATTAGGCTTGTTATCAAGAAATGGTTGCTACCCGGCAATGGCCAGTGCTACATACGAACTGACCTCTAAATGATGATGGGTCACCCAGTTCTTGTCCCCTGTATTTAGAGACGCTTGGGAATTCTTGTTGCCTTTACAGTATCATTCTTTTTTTTTTTTAAGATTTTATTTAAAGATTTATTTATTTGAGAGAGAGAGTGTGTGTGTGTGTGTGTGTGTTCCTACGGTGAGGAAGGGCAGAGGAAGAGAATCTTCAAGCCGACTTTGAGCTAAGTGCACAGCCCAAGGCGGGACTCAGTCTCACGCCCCATTAGATCATGACCTGAGCCGAAACCAAGAGTTGGTCACTTAACTGACTGAGCCATCTAGGCACCCCTAAAGATTTTACTTTTAAGTAATCTCTACACCCAGTGTGGGGCACAAACTCACAATCCCGAGATCAAGAGTGTCATGCTCTACTGACGAAGCCAGCCAGGTGCCCCTGCATTATCATTTTTGAAGAACAGAGTTTTCCTCCCTTTCATAAGGTAGTAACTTTTACAGTTAAAGTACAGAGAGGGCTAGCCAGAGGAACGAGGGTATTGTGAATGAGTCAGTTGTAGACAACCCTGAATTGCTGTTCTTAGAACAAAATAGTAATGTAATTATAGCTGTTCTCTGTTTTGGAGAGCCTCCTAAGGGGCTCTTTGGGCATATTGCCTCAGTTAATTCTTACACTAACCTTATAAGATAACTAGTAATGTCCTGTTGTATAGGTAAGAAAAGTGAGGCTTGGGAGGTTTGGTATTGTGCTCAAAGTCATACCAGTTAGTAAAAGGTAGTAAAAGGAATCTGTTGCCAGATTCCAAAGGCAATATTCTTTCTACCTGTTAAATTGATCTCTTTTGGATTCAGTGTTATGTTTTGTTTTTAAAAATTTATTTTATTTTAGAGAGAGAGTGAGCATGCACTCACAAAGGCGGGGAGGGCTGGAGGGAAAGGGAGAGAGAATGTCAAGCAGACTCCATGCTGAGTGCAGAGCCCCACATGGGCTCAATCTCATGACCCTGGTGAGATTAGGACTTGAGCCGAAACCAAGAGTTGGGATGCTTAACCAACTGAGCCACCCAGGCACCCCTGGATTTAGTGTTTTTGAAATGATTTCAGTTCACATTTAAAATAATTTGAATTGCTGAATATGATTTATATTTGAAAACTTCCTATAGGTTTACTGGCATGTGAGTAATGTGGGTATTTTTCAACTAGTTAGTTTGCTGGTGTTTTATTGTTTAGAGACCACCAGCAGGACTTTTATCTGATGAGTTTTAGTTTATGCAATAGATCTTGCTCCAGGATATAAATAGTGAAATGTTGAAATAAATTGTGAAGTGATGTGGAATTCAGCAAGGAAAGCAAAGAAATATTCCTGTTCCTTAAGAGATGGATTTGGTTATGTACTGGGAGGTCTTTTGTTTGTTTTTTGCTTTTATTTTAAGTGTATATGTGTTCAAATTTTGACCTTCAAGGGCATCTTAATTTATTAAATCTTCTAAGCCATTTGAGAAGCATCCTAATGTGCTTCTGTCTCCTGGAATGTTTTGGGCAAATTTTGTCAGGTGAGGAAGTAATAGTGATAACAGTAATAATTGCTGTGTGAGCAGCTCCCATTTCTTGAGTTTTAGTAAATGTAAGGCACTATGCCAAACACATGTTATTTCACCCAGTTTTCCAAATATCTGTCAAGTAGGTGTTGGCATTCTCATTGTATAGATCAAGAAACTAAGGCTTGGAAAAGTTAAGTAACTTGCCCAAGGTTATTTATTTACTTATTTATTTCCCAACCCTGCCCCTCTTGCCCAAGTTTATTTATAAGTCGGTGAGTCAGGATTTGAACATGGGTCATCTGCTTTTGTCTCTGCTGTTGGTATCTTTTGTCTTTGTGATTTATGCCTTGTTTTCCCCTTAACTCGTTTAAGTTCCATTTCAGGAGGGAACAGAGTTAGTTGTTTGTGCTCCTTATAATCCATCATTAATGTTGAAAATAGCAAAGCAGTCACCAGCATGGGTGATCTTGACATTATTGGTATATCTTTTGTCTTGGATCCTCATTTTAGTATTACTGTTGTGTCTTCTATGAAAATAATTCTCCTGTGAATTTCAGTGTTTAGTGATAAGAAATATGGATTTTACATATCTATGTAATATTTGTTTAACACGGAGGGAAAAATGAAAAGATGGATGTTTAAAGTCTGCCTTTTGTTTGTTTGTTTCCCCCCTCTGAGCACTGTTTCCAGGTAATCTCAAGGCAGGGCAGGCTAGCAGGATCTGGGATCAGAAATTGGGCTAGGCTGATGAGTAGGGTACCTCTTTTAGGCAGTGGCATGTGAGTGCTCTGTAAGGCTGAGGGCAAGTAGGCTGAGTGATAATGTCCCTTCCTCCTCTGCTTTGTGGTCAGGATTCAGGAGCCTGGCAGGGTACAGACTCTAAATAGAAAGATGTACCTGCGGTCCAGTTTAGGTGAGGTGGGTCATTTAAGGAGCAGTTGATGGCAGCTGCTTATTTAAGGACTTGTTGCCCGTGGTGTATCTTATTTATAGGACCTTGGTGTATCTTATGTGGAGGGTCTGTATTGTGTTACATGTTGCTTATGGGTTGGGAGTCAGAGGCAAGGGTTCTCTTGCTTTAGAGGCTGAGACTAAGGCTGATGAGGCAATAAGCTTCATGTGGTGGTCATGATACCAAAGTGATGCCTGACAGAAGA